TCATTCGTAGTGTTTATATATATGACAGAGCTTTCATAAGCAGGATTGTGCTCAGAAAAGCCCTTTGAACAGATGGGTTTGTGTTGGTATTGATCCCAATGACTCTGCTAGTCATTGTTGTGCTATCATTGTCACTGAGACCAATCTGGTCTATGGATGCTAAGACAAGACTGGACCTTTATTCTAGGGGCTTGAATCTGACTGCTTTTGTAAACATGACTGATGGTTTTCTTGTCAGTCCCTAGATTGTGACTAAGAATGATTTAAAACCTGCCTTGGCATTCAAATGAGTAGTTCTGCCAGCCAGGACCTAATATGAAGTACTCATATTTCATTTTCATTTTTCTCATTTTTCTTCTAGGTGCCTTTGCTTTCATAGTGCTAAAAGAGCAGACAGCTCATACAGACCATGTCAAAGAAGAGCTCAAAACTATAGTGGCTACCAAAATAGCAAAGTATGCTGTGCCTGACCACATTCTGGTAAGAGGGAGACTAAGGGAGACTGGGAGCAGGAGCAGTCGCATTTACTAAGCCTTGCCTTTCCCATCTGCTGCGTTGCAGTTGTCTCTCTCTAGCAGGACAAAGGAGCAGGAAAAGAGAACTTGCTGGAGGGATCTGTGGGTGGAGGAGGCAGGTGCAATGGTCTGAACGTACACATCCATGCACAGAGAGTACTGAGAGTACCTTTCCTGGCAAGAATTCTGGCAAACGGGAATTTTAGGCACACCCTGTGCCTTAAGCGGCATTTGTCATCCCTTCTTTGAGATGCAGCAGCATTACTATTTTAAACTAAAAGGGGAGAGACTTAGATTATTATCAGGAAGAATTTTTTTTACTCAGAAGGCAGTGAGACTCTGGCACAGCTGCCCATACAAGCTGTGGTGCCCCGTCCCTGGATGGACTTAAGGCCTGGTTGGATGTGGCCCTGGGCAGCCTGAGCTGTACGGGATCCATGGCGGGATTCATGTTCCAATCCATGGCAGGGATTGGAACTGGGTGTGCTCTAAGGTCCCTTCCAACCCAAGCCATTCCACTGTTCTATGAGTTTTCAAGTGTTTGTAGTTCAACAGTTAACAGCTGTTCCAAGGCCTCAGTCTCCAAAAAGCTTCATATTCAGCAGCACCCAGCCTGGAGTTACCCAGCAATGAATGAATGAGAAGCAAAGTCTAGTTAGCTAAGAATACATTTTATAGCATAAGATATTGATGCAAGCAATATTCCTTTGTTTGGACACAAACTACTGTGCTCTATGAGTAGCTCCTAGGAGCTGTAGCCATGAGATAGCGCCAGGCTTAGGACAGTTCAGCTAGATTTCCAGGTTGTTTCCATCAGGATCCAAGTTCTGATTCAGGTGTGTCTTTCTCTTTTCTGCAGGTGGTGAAACGCCTTCCTAAAACCCGATCAGGGAAGATCATGAGGAGGCTGCTGAGGAAAGTAGTCACTGAGCAATCAAGTAACATGGGAGATGTCACCACACTTGATGATCCGAGTGTCGTCGCAGAGATACTGGATGCGTACCAGAAATACAAAAAGGAGAAGAGTTCCTCATAGCAGATGCCTTTGGAATATCTCTGCTCTGGAAATGTGGAGGGTCTTGAATGACGAGGCAAACAACATGGTTCTCTCTTGGTGTATTCTGCAAAACTCTGTTCCCTTCTAGAGAAATAGGATTTCTTCTCCACAAAGTGTTTTGAGTTGTTCAGAGCTAGGAGGCATCTGCTGTCTTGCACAGTCAGGGAGCTCCTTTTCACTGCTTCTAGAGCTGATGTAGAAAAGCCATTGGCAGTTTCCATTAGCTGTGGTGAAAATAATACGAGGTAAAACAAGATAAAGATGTTAATATTTCTCATTTCAATGGTTTTATACAAGGAAATGTTTTTATATTATACTTCCGTTTTTTTAAGAGCAGCCTTGAAATATATTCCTTCTATTTTTCCTTCAGCTTGGATATCCAAGTTCAAGTAGTTGTTTTTAACTGCAACTGTGGTGCCTTTTCAGCAATGCAGGGTTTTTAGTAGATATTTCATATGTATTATTAGGGAAATGAGAAGGACATGGCTAATCAGATATTTATCTCATGTTCTGATAATTCCTGTGGCTTTCCTCATAATAACTTGTGCCTTCCACTATATTTCCAGAACTTCCCTGCAACACCTACACAACCCAGCATTAGAACTTCCAGCTACAAAACTGAGCCACAAAGCCTATGTCTGAACTCTGCACATCCTCAGTGCATTGCCAGGGAACTGGTCCCAGGTGTTTTCATTCTCATTTAAGAGACTGAGATCACCAACTGGGATTTTAGGGCAACTTTCCTCTTCCTCATTAGTGATGATAATTTATGCAGTTGTCTTTGTTTCTTCAAGTCATTATGGAAAGGAAACCATATTTACTTTGCTGGTGGAGCATGGGGGAATAAAATCCCAAAGTGTTCAAGAGAGGTTTGAAGCTAAAGAGATGTGCTAGAAGGTTTGTTGTGACTTGCTGAGTTGCATGATTTCTAGTCAATGAATGGTTATTTTAGCCCACTCCCAAGTGATCTGTAATCTGACAGGTAATCAACAAAGACAGGCACCCAATTTGAAGGTAGGTTGGTTCTTTCATCAGAAGTTGTCTTCATGCTTGTTATTTCAAGATGTCCCCTGCCATGTTTGTCCCTTCCATATGCTGCTGTGCTGATCTTCCAGCACGTGCCATGCCGGTACACACAGATTGCACAATCCACAAGGAGAAGGAGGTGCCTCTTAGATGCTTTCTGGGAAATGATGGTGGTATTCCAGACTAGCAACCTCAGAATAACAGGAAACAACAGTCTTTGTCTTTCATATGCTTTTCACAGCAAGGAGTGGTGAGTTTTTGGCCAGCAGAGATTCTGGTCCAAATGGGGAAGACAGCTGTCAATATGATATGTTCTCAGTCAGGCCTGTTGCCTTTGATCTCAGAGTTCCTTTTGACTATGTTAGGTACGTTTGTTGTTGGATTTTTAAATCTATGTGTCTCCAGGGTCTGGGTAATACAGCAGGGAAGATCATACTTTGTTGCGGTTCCCATCCTTCTGACTGCAGTCCATTTTTGCCTAAGGTAAGTATACATCCTGTGGACTTTGTGGGAAGTCGAGGATCAAAAAGTTTGACATAGCTGACAGACTTTAATATTTCGGGAGACAGCCACTACGTACATCCTCTATTGCCACTGCAGAAATAAAACCCCTCTTCCTTAAGTGATTTTCAAGTGGGAAGCTGACAGTAGTTAATGCTTTTGACAGAAAAGTAGACTCTCTTGTTTAGACAGGCTGTCTGCACACGCACAGTCTCCCCCACACAGTCTGAAATATAGGGTGGAGAAAGAGAAGTGGTCTTTGAACAAAATCATACACTTTGATGAAGAAAGCATTTTCTGTATTACTGAATTTCCATGTGAAGGTCCAGTATTCGCTGACATTTGATCTAATTCATCTGAACTGCCTCACAAGGACTGGCTTTGTGCTCTGGTGCACTGAGACACTGTTATCCAATTCATCTGGTGAGGAAAAAGGGGAAATAAGTGTACTGCTTCACGTGCATCTGTGTATATTCTGAGGCCCCTTTGGATGCTCATAGAGAGCACATGGTACTGTCATAGTACTACTGTTATAGAATCAGAGTCATCACAGAAGAGATCACTAAGATAATCATGTCCAATTGTCAGCCTATCGCCACCACTAACCATGACCTTCAGTTCCACATCTCCACATCTGTAGAACGTGCATTAAGTTTGCCAGCCTTAGAAGTCCTCCTTTCATCTTTTTTTCTGTAATCTCTAATTGCACTGGTTGCATTACCAGTCCTAGTCTGAGTTGAGCTGAGCATGTTGCTATTTCCTGGATGTGGTGAGCACCAGCAGTGGGGTTTGTCAGCAGTGCTTTCAGCTTCATGTGCAGCTGTTTTGTCACCCGTCCGGACTTTGCTTTGAGGAGGGGCTCAGCCTGCAGAACTGGCACTGAGGTCCTCAGTTCTTGAAATACTAGGAGAAAGATGCCACTAGCAAAAGACTTCAGGCCTGCTGCCTTTTGAGCTGATCCACTGATGCATTCATCAGTGGGGAAAGTATACTTGGAATACTTCATAGTGGGATCATTGGATACTCTTGTGTATGGTTGATTCATTTGGGAAAGCAAAAGTGATGGACCTCTGTGCATCCACGATTAATGTGGGGGTGATGTGCTAGATTGCATTTGTAACCTCATCAGAAGAGTTTCAGAGTTTGTTTTACCTGCTGCAGTCTGACACAAAGGGCAAATGAAAACACTCAACAAGGGAGACAAGGCCTGCTAGGGAAAGAGCCTCTAAGTCTACTGCGGCAGCATCTAGTAGTAACATAACCTTGCCATGCCTGTCCATCATGTTCTTACCTCATTTTCCCACTCAGATGTACCCATGGAACCCGATCTTCGTGCCTTTTTTCCCACCCAAGAGACCAGACCACAATTTTCTTAATTTTAGGAAACAAAAAGGCATCTCCTAGAGGTGATGTGTGTTGTACAGATTAACATTTTGCTGTTGTTAATTGTAATACTTTACATTTATTGTCATTGACCGAAATCCGTGATCTCTGTATTCAGATTTTCATTAAAAGAAGCACCCACTTCCACGTGATGTGTTGTGGCTTTGTGCCGTAGGCGTCTGACTCTACACGTGTGGGGTTTCACTCCCAGCAGCCAGAAAACCAACTTCGCACTACTCACCGAGCTCTCCCCCGGCCCGTTTCGCGCCAGCCGCGATGCAGCCCCCTGCCGCCACCTGGTGGATGGAGCCGCTCCTTCCCGGAGCGGCAGCGGGGATGCGCCGAGCTCCGCTCCTGAGGACGGGACCGCGGCGGTTCAGCGGCCGTCTGGAGGCCGCACCCGGACACGGCGGGGCCGAGCAAAACCCCGCTCTGCAGCTTTCAGCGCACCGCCGGAGGCCCGCCGAGAAAGCGCGACGCAGCGCGCAGGCGCGGCCGCGGGGCGGGGCGGGGGGCGGACGGAGGCCGCAGGTCGGGGCCGGAGCTGCGGAGGATGAATGAGGCCGAGGGGCTGCGGCAGCGCCGGCCGCTCCGCCCGCAGGTCATCACCGAGGACGGCCCGGCGCAGGAGGCCAAGGAGGGCAGGTGGGAGGCCCGTCCGGCGCGGGGCTGCGGGCCGAGTGCCGTAAGGCGCTGCCGTCCACCCGGGGTGCCGCTGGGCGCTCGGTGCTACTCGGGCGGCCCTCAGGCGGCCCCGTGTGTGCCCGGTGGTGTGCCCGGTGGTGGGGTTTGTTGGTCTGTCTCACCATCTATCTATTTACGTATTGGGGCTGTTTAAACGCAGCTCTTGGAGCAGTGCCGCTTATCCCGTTGTGGCTTGCGCGGATCTGCTGTGGGTGTGACTGGCTGTTGTGTAATGCTGTTAGTTTGTTTGGAGCTGGCAGTGGTTCAGAGAGGTGACCGCACACCTCTGTGTGCCTTGTAAACACTTCATTGGTTTGAGGTTTGGTTAAGGACGATCTCCTTTACAACTCCCTGTGTACCGATTCAATTCAAAACTGGCTTCTCTGTAACTGCAGGCGGTAGCAGCAATAAGAAAGCAGCGTTTGCTTTGCCTTCCACCAAAGCTCGATCTTCAAGGTCCCTTCTAACCTAAACCACTCTTGGCTGGCACTGCTTTGGTTCACCATCACTGATGTCTTTTCCCATTTGAGCACCCCTCAGATTTTCCTCTCTGCTCCTCTGTGTCACCAGGGTGCAAGAGGTGCTTATTACTGTACTCATAGCCCCCGTTAACAAGGGAGACTATCGGCACCTTTAAACTGCTCTTTCCAGCATCCACCTCTCTTGCTAATTTTTCTCACATCGGTTGTGTTTCTAGGACTCTGTAAACGATCCAGAATATTCACAGATCGCAGTCTCTCGAGACTGTCCTGCATGAAGCAGTGGAAGTACTTCTGAAGGATGCCCGTGTTCCAGATGGGAGCCGTGCAGAAACTTGCTGACGGCTTCCCTCCCTGCTGCCTCTCCTGCCGTTCCTATGCTGAGAGGAGGAGGCAGCCCACACTGCTGGCTGTGCTGACCTCTAGTGTTTTTTTGTCAGCCTCTCTCCAAGAGCTGTGTGACAGCATCTTGTTTTAGTTCTCAGTGACAACTAAGTTAGTGTTGTTATAACGAGAAGTTTGGGAATTGTTTGATTTTGTTGATGTGCATTTGCTTTTATTTAATTTCTAGTATTTCAGCAGTATCTAAAGTAGGTCTAGCAGTTTGCAGGCTTGGAGCGGGGGTTTGCATGTTGCCACATTCTTCCTGCCTGCTTCCTTTATTATCAGTACATTGCAAATTTGCTTAAGGCTCAGAAATATGACCTTTACCTAATAATGCTTTCAGGAGCTTTAATTAAGTTGGCTTGGCAGATGAGTTCTCATTCACCTTTATCAGCTTCCTTTTGTGTGAGCTATTCTCATCTGTAACAAAGGTGCTTCTGTGATTGCTGACAGCACTTTCAATTTTTAAAGTATTGAGCCATCGTTTTCTGAAGGACTGTGGAACAGCGAGGCAGGCAGCTGAAGTCTTTGTGTAGACTTAGAGACCACCTCATGTCTCTGTCACTCTCTCCATTCCAAGGGCAAGGGGAAAAAGACTGGGATGTTGCTTTCTCAAGACATCTGCTATTCCAGCAGACAGTGCTGAGATCTGGTGGTTCGTCACAAGGGCAGTCTGGCCCCTGGGAGTTGCAAAGAGGTCGGTCAATGTAGATGAGCAAGCTTATTTGAAGCAGCTTCGTGATCTGATTACGTCATCTTGGAGATAGGCTTATTGCTGTAACATTGCTGATGTGCCCAAAGGGGAGTGCTCTCTGGAAGGAGCTGTGATGGGCAATGAATATTTTAGCATCAGTTTGTTGTTGGTGCAGGCAGTGACCAGATTCAAGCCTGACTGTGTCCTTCCTTACCCAGCAGATAATCCCAAAGGTTACCTCGAGGCTGATAGCAGCACTGCGTGTATATGCTGTTAGCTCCCCAGTTTTGCTGTTTGTGCTTTGGGCAGCAATTCTCTGTCCTGTTGTTTGGATGTCAGGCTGGTGAAGGACAGCACAGTGGAAATGGTCCAGGATTGATGCAGGGCAACCAGGTGCCATTTGCCTCTGTGTAACTGATACTGAGTGGAGTCTGGCTGACTGTGTCAGTGAGCATTTGGGAGTAGCTAAGGGTTGGGAGCTGCTTTTCTGCTTCAGGTCTGGGATTTGTTGGACGTGGCTCTGTGCTTTCCTCTGTAAGTGCTTGATTGAGGTTTATCAGCTTGTTGAGAAGAAAATATGTTGTTGTTTGTTTGTTTTTTTTTCCTGTGGAAAAAAAAACAGGTTTTGCTGTTTGTTGTGTGTTTTGCTGGATTAGTAGGAGGTGCTTAATTGCATCTGCATGCTGGGGCTTAAGTTTCAACCCAGTCTTCACTATGTGAAGAAAGCATTCAATTAATCTCTTCTAATCTTGTATTCGTTGTATTAGTTGCTGGGACTTTTATTAGTACATGCCTGATTTCTGCTTCTTGAAAAATTCTGGAAGGTGGAGGTTTAACTTAGAGCTGGGAAGGAAACTGCTGCCAAAATATTAATTTAATTTAAAAGAACAAAGTGTTGGGTTTTGGTCAACTGTAACTTGCATGAAACCCGTATGTGATGCTGCTCTCGGAGCCTCATGTGGTGCCATTGTGCAGAGACTGCATACATACCCCTTTGTTTTATATTAGCCATTAAGAATATTTGAGAAGGTGATTGAGTAAAAGAGTATGTGCGTCCTTTGGTATAGGAAATGGGCTGTTAAGGTTTGTGGATTTCCTTAATTATTACATGCTAAAATAGCATCACATGTTAATCCTATTTCTTGTGTGTTTCTGACAGTGCTTACAGCAGCAAGGTGTTCCGTGTTACCTTCTTGACTTTGGCTGCGTCTCTGGCTGTGCCCCTGCTTGGAGCAACTGTTCTACTGGATTGTCCTATAGACCCCCAGCCTATAAGGTATGTTGTTGCTTTGTTTTAAAGTAGATACATGGAACTGTGACTTTTGCTATGTGTTGTACTACTTTTTGATGAATGAGGCAACTGTGCAAAGTGATTCCCACTGTATTAGGAAAATGGGGATTGATTGCACTGTAACCCATTGCCAGGGCTTGCTTTGCAAACCCAATTTGAGGTACCTTTGCAGTTGTGTAAGCACTGATCAGTGAAGGAGCTGAATTACTTCCTTTGATCATTAATCTCAAAAATGTCTTTGTTTTTTCTTTTTTCTGCTGTCCAAACTGTCAATAGAGCTTGTGCTTACTCACTGAATGCTCCTGCCTTCAGGGAGACATGAACTATATTTTCACCAGGGGACAAGCAGTACAGTTGAACCCAAGCTGTACCCATTTCTGACGAGAGACACTATTCATATGAAGATGTGAATTGAATGGATAACCTGACTGTGTTCAGTGCTTTGTACCAGCTGAACCATATGGCCATGTTATATTTAAATGCACATCTTGTGAAGTAAATGCATTTGCTTGATTTGTGTCTTGAACTGTCTGAATTAATATAAAATATGGGATGTAACAGTGAGCCATCTGCACGAGAGCTGCATTGTGTGTGAAACTGTGCTAGTGTAGTCGGGTGACTTGGTGCTTCTGGCATTTTGAAGTAAGTGAAAATGCTAACTCTGCTGAAGATTTAGGTTCAACTTGATAATTCTGCAATGAGAAGGAAGAACAACGTTGTGAACATCTCTAGGGTTTAAAGAAACTGTTGATGTGGCAGGGTAGTACTTACAAATCTTGCCAAAAAGCTATTAGACCTAAGCTGCTTGCTTGCAAATCTTAATAAAATGCTTTCTGCTGTGTTGAGTTTAACAAAGTATTCCCTGAAATACACTGCAACTCAATTCTGGAACCTAGTAGGATTTGTCTACAGAGCTTTTCCTATTATGTTGTTCTGGTCTATTTCTCATCCAGAATAGTGTTCTGTAACACTATTCTGCATGCTTACATCTCTTACTTTAAGTCCCTTTTGCCAGACTAGGACAACCATTCTTGCCCAAATCAATGACTTGTATTGCTTTAGATTCTTGAAGAGAAGCTAAAAAGCTAATTAAGGTGTGGTTTAGGCCTGTACAATAGGAAGGATAATAATTCTGTGTGGTGTTTCTGAAGTGTTCTGAAACAGCTGAAGTAGATGGATGCTTTTTGGAGCAATGACTTCAGTGGAAGAATGTGTAAAATTTGCATTCATATTACTCTGGTAAACCACAGGAAATAAGGAGAGTTAAGAGGGCAGGGCGAAGGCAGGTGACACCTGAAATTTCACGTGAAACATCTGCAGCTGATTTATTCCAAATTCTTTCTCTATGAGTCTGTATTGCAAGATATTGATCCTGGGGAGGATTTTCTACTTGAAAACATAACAGTCCAAAGTTCTTGACAAGTGAGTGAGTTCCTTATCTGAATCTGCTGTTATCTTAATCTAAAACTCTCTAGCACTTGGAAAAAAGGGGTGGAAAACTATCTTGTCTTAGCGCTGTGAAAGCAGCTCTGCTGTAAATCTTGTGTGGACAGGACCTAGTACTCAAATTAGAAAGTTTGCTATCTGTAACCAAACAGATAAAGTGTGCATCTCTCTCTCCTTACATTATTTGTATTGTGTGCCTGTTCTCTTCAGTTCTCGTAGCTTTTACAGTTTGCAGGTCCAGCTAACTTTTTTTACCCCTAATTGCTAAATACATAGAAATTTCCACAACTTTCACTGTAGGAACAATGTGGTTGCAATGTTGCTGGTCCTGGGGAAGTCCTAGATCCTGTGTACCGTGGCAAATTTTGGACTCAAACCATGTCTTTAGAGATTCTGTGGATGGAAGGCATTTGCTTGTGGTCATATAAGGAGTTATTTAAATTTAAAAATTCTTCCAGAGCTTTGCCCTGGGAGCTTTAGCGTGCTCCTGTGAATGAGCAACTAATGAGCTTACCACCTTGAGCAAGAATGCAGCTTCATTAATGACTTGAAATCATGGAGACTGTAGTGGTTGATGCTTGTGTCTTTAAGAACCTAAGAGTGTGGCTGGAACATATTTGCATTTATTAGCACAGTTGGGGCTGAATTTGGAGCACAGTGCTCTGGAGTGTGGTATTTGATTTGAAGCTGTGTAGGCATCTTACTAGTACCTTTCTCCATATTTCTGTACTTGACTAGAAATCCAGTTGACTTAAATAAGGCTATTATGTGAATAAGGGCTTGCAAAATTGAACCCTATTTTATAGTTTTTAGATTTCAGTGCAATTCCCTTGATGTGCAACTTAATCCTTTGAGTTGCTCTTTCTCTATGGGAATGCATTCAAATTATGAACAAGAATATCTTTTTCATTATGGTATGAAGATATGCATGTTGAATGCTGGAATGTTTTCTGTCACTAGTAGTATGTCAGTTAATAATTAAAAGTTATTTATTTCCCTTATTGAAGATGTCATATGGAGTCAGATCTTAGTGTATTGTTATACAGTGTTGTTATAAGTCTTTGTTTTATAATATGTATCTGTCTTTCCAGGAAAAATGGTTTGGTAAAAAAAGCTACTTCAGCTGAGTAAGAAAAGAGTAATTCTATCACACACTGCAACAGGTTGCCCAAGAAGACTGTGGATGCCCCATCCCTGGAGGCATCCAAGGCCAGGCTGGATGTGGCTCTGGGCAGCCTGGTCTGGTGGTTGGCGACCCTGCACGTAGCAGGGGGTTGAAATTAGATGAGCATTGTGGTTCTTTTCAATCCAGGCTATTCTATGATTCTGCTGTGTCGTGGTGCTGAATCCTTTGCCTTTCTGTAAGGAAGATGGACATGGAATGTGTTGCTGGGCTTAAAGCTGACTTACAGATACAATTTAAGAATACATGATCAGTCTCTTTTCAGATGAGCAAAACAAGAAAATTTTGATCTTTGATGAACAAGAGTTAATCTTTCAGCTTGCCAGCTGTGTGTCTCTTTAGAAATACATTATATATGAAGTGTAGGTCAGCTTTCAGGAGTGGTGGAAAAGGTGGATCCAACTTGTTGCTCAAGAGTGTTTGCACATTTGTGCAAAGGTTCATGAGTTCTGTGTTCTGTTTTTGCAGCCTGAAAGAACCACCCCTCCTGACGGGTGTGCTAGAGCCCAATAACAAGTTACAGAAAGCTGAGAGACTATGGGAGAATCAACTGGTTGGGCCAGAATCCATCGTCAATATTGGAGGTAAGCATTGAGAAAAGGTGTTTAGCAGTTGTATCCTTTATTTTCCTCCTGCTAAATCTTCTCACGGATTATTAGAGTATTAAAAATATATATATATAAATCCACAGCAACAAAACATTCTAAATTCCTTCTTCAGATTACAGTTTTGTTGCTTGTCTCTGTTAACGTCATGCTGAAGTGACTTCTTGAAGCCACGCTTTTCTGTTACCTGTTTTGGTCAGAATCAACAGAAATTCTCTAGGAAACCTTCCCGTTTGTGACAGCTGAGCTATGGGTGAATGATGTGACCAGGAGGAAGTTTTGTTATGCCCTCTGAAAAGTATAACTAGCAAACGTAGGGCTTCAGATAAATTGAAGATAGAAGAGTCCTACCAATGGGCTCTGCTAGTCCAATCATCTTTCATTTGCTGCTTAATCTGCACGTATGGCGAAGTTTGTGTTGTTTATATTCAGCTTTGTGATCAAGTTAATCACACCAGTTACTTTTGCAGATGTGCTATTTACTGGGACAGCTGATGGAAAGATTCTCAAAATTGAAGATGGGGAAGTACAAACAGTAGCCAGAATTGGCCATGGTCCTTGTGGTAAGTGACATCCTTCTGAGCATTTTGTACCCCAAAACAGGAACTTGTGTGGATGAACTTGGTGTTCTGTCTGGATTTCACACACGAGTGCATATCTTCCCCTGTGGACGTCTGTAACAGAAATATTAGTACATGTATGAATGACATATGAGTGGAAATAATTCTACAAGCACTGGAAGGAACAGCAGAGCAAAGAGCTAAAAGAGTGGGAATGGGTGCTACTGATAACAAGGACACTGCTCCTAGCAGTAGAATTTGGGAATTTAGTTTCTTTTATGCCACCATTACAAGGTCTGCATTCTGGTAAGGCTTGCAGCATGGATGACCTGTAGAAGATCCTGCATCTTAACCCCGGGAGCATGAGGTTGCATGTGTCACAAATAATGTTCCTTTTCCTGTTGGCCCATCCAGAAATAGCATATACCCCAAAAAAGAAAATAAGAAAAGGTCAGCAACCTGACATAATGTTTATGTGAAGGTGAAGTCAGCAAGACTGTGGGGTGAAGGGCCACCCTGTAGAAACTGAAGACCTCTAAGCAAGTGTTAGTGAATGAACTCTGAGATAATGTGTGAATAGGTAAAATCAACTTCTTTGGAGATTTTGTAAATAAATGTCTGCTCTGTAGAATTTTACCTTGCATTTGTTGTACCAATTTCCCTTCCTCGTTAAGTGCACTAGAGGATTGTGGTAGCAGTTATTTCTTGTTGAATTCCACACATCTTTTCCAGCTGCTCATTTGCTTCACTTAATGAGTTTTCTGGAAGTGAGTGAGTACAGCTGATAGTGCATTGTTTATTAGTATTTACCAGTTATTGATGTCTGCACCCTTATTTTGTCACTGGTTAAGCAGAGATTGTAGGCCGTTGTTACGTAGCTCTCACTAACATGCTCAGCATTTTAGGCATTTTAAAAGGCTGTTCACAAGACCAGCTCTGATCTGTTTCGGCTGCCTAACAAGTAGAGAAGCCTTGGCACTGACAGCAAACAGTTTGCTGCCAGCTGATACACAGCTGGACTTTGTGCTTTTGTTCAGGCATGAATGTGGGGGAGAGTGGATATGGCAAATCACCTTTTCTGTTGGACTTGCACCGCATGCAACATATTCTTGGGAAAGGTGGCAAAGTTGTGCTTCCTGCCGCTTTGGGGCCAAAGAGGTAGAGAGGACCCTAGACTCATGTTCCTTCTCAGGCTGTGGAGAAATGGTGATAAAAGGGCTGCTTTCCCCAGCAGACTGTCTTGATAATGTCTCAAATTAGAGATGTTCTAAATGTCACAGTTCCTTAGGATTCAAGTGGACACAAATGTTTCATGTTTATGGTGTTCTTAATACACAAGTCCGTAGTCATAAGAAAACTATTCTTTCATCAGAACGTTAGCTCTTTCCAATTAGAGATACTTCCAAGGAGTGTGTACCCTTTATTTTCATAATAAACTTACAGTAAGACTGATCCTTCATAGGAAAAAAGTCTTCATTTAAATCCAATTTTCTGACATTCAGCCCTAGTTGGGGCAACTGCTATCAGTTGCCAGGCTATTTACTAGCTAAGTTTATCTCTAGACTGGTCATAACATGGAGCTATCTGTATCACTCCCACTCAGACAAGTAAAAACTGTTTCTTTCATGAATGGCACTGGCACTAATGTCTTGTTCAACTGTAGTTCAATCTCATGCAGCAAGCATGAATGCCCTGTGTTTATTTGTATTTGGAAAACCATTTAAAACATTTTTCCTAAGGAACTCCTGAAGATGAGCCAACTTGCGGACGACCACTTGGTATCAGAGTGGGACCAAATAACACCCTTTTTGTGGCAGATGCTTACTATGGACTCTATGAAGTTAATCCAGGCACAGGTATGACTTCTCTATTCAGCAGTTCTCTTCTACTGAGAAATCTGCTCTTCATTTGGAGTTTTGCCCGACACTGTAGGCAATGCCTGTCTTTTCTTTAAAGCAGTTTGGAGCTGTCTGGATGAAACATGCCATGCAAGAACTTTTTCTTGTAGCAATCACTTCTTCTCTGTGTCTGTCTAAATCAGTGTTAACAGTTGCTTATCTTCTGGTAAGCTGCGTTTTCAACTGTCAAAATAGATGCCTTGGGACTCATGAGCTCTGTGCAGCTGTTAATTTTCATAAAGGTAGAAAAATTATCTTGCAGTTACATAAGCTTTTTGCTGGGTTTAGTATTCCTTTATTTCTGCCTTAATCTCACAATGTGGTAGTGAAGACCTCTCCTCTGTAACCCCAATCTATAGAAGGTGAAGAAAGGCATAGCTTGGTGTGGCTGAAGATCAAATGGCTTGTTCCTGCTGAGACAGGCACTGCTGCTTTGTGTCCTTCATTGTATGTCCCTGAGCCAGATCTCAGTTTCAAGAGCTGTGTCATCAGAAATCTATGGTTTGTTTTCTTGAAGGGTTCACTTTCTTTACAGTTTGTTTCCAAATTGGCTCTGGGTAGGGGGAAGGAGGCTTGGACAAATGCCATATTGGAAGGATTTAGACTGTGTGGCTTTGGGAGAGTGTAATCAAAGTCTCCCTTACTGATGGTAGACAGCTGCCACATTAGTTCAGTCATGCCAAAACAAAGAAGAAAAACAAACCCCCGGCCCAAATATGACTACAACAGATTTTCATCAGTTGTGTTAGAGGCTTGGCCATAATAATTTACCTGGTGATGTGCCAACTGTGCCAGAGCAGTTCAGTGAACCTGCCAGTGCTTTCATGTTTAAAAAGTACTCTTCAATCCTACAGATTGATGGGGAAAGAGAGTGGTAATTGGTTTGCTTGAACTCTACAACGCTGGGACCTGCATTCATGCTTGGTTTAATGTGAATTAAACCAATTCAGAATTGAGAAATGTGGCAAGTCTGGTGCCTATCAGAAGGAAACATCTTCCGTTTCAGCTTTCTGAAGAGTGTTTTCTCCTTCTCACTTACACTGTGTTGAGTTATTCCATTGCAATCCAAAACCTTCTTACTTAATGGAATGGAAAAAATGTGAAGTGCTTGCTGATTTTCTGTTAGTATTGAACTTGCTGCCCAGGCAGGACATATAAAAGCTGGCCTTATATGTGTGTCTTTTTTCTGACCAGGTGAAACGAAAGTGCTTGTGTCAACCAAAGCACTAATTGAAGGTCAGAAGTTGTCGTTTCTGAATGACCTTACTGTGACCCGAGATGGCAGGAAAATCTACTTCACAGACTCCAGTAGCAAGTGGCAAAGAAAAGACTACTTATTCCTGCTTATGGAAGGCACAGATGATGGGCGGCAAGTATCCCTTCCCCAAGGCATTTAGTGTACTTTAAGCTCACCTGTAGGAATGGACTTGGACACTTTCTTGGTCTCCAAGTTTTTGTTGTTATAAGCCACCTGTGCAAGCACTGCACTGCCCAGGAGAGGGTGGAAGAAGATGTGGATGATGCTGATGAGACCTGCAGCAAAGTAAATGAGATTGCTTTTTTTTTTCTTCTCCTTTGAGAAGACTCAAATGGAATGTGCTTTTTAAAAGAGAGGGTGTTAACATGATGTTCCAACTAAATCTTTAATGGATAGACCTCTTGAGATTGGCAGTTGTATTTCTCCTGACTTCATAAGCAAGTGCTTCCTTGTTATTTATCCACTTTAACTTAGGTGAAATACATGAGCAAGGAGGTGAAAAGTGAGAAATGAAATCACAGTGGGTATTTGTCTTTACAAACATGTATAATACTCTCTTTTTAGCCTGCTTGAATATGACACAGTAACAAAAGAAGTGAAAGTCTTAATGGTGGGACTGAGGTTTCCCAATGGTGTTCAGCTCTCTCCTGCGGAAGACTTTGTCCTGGTGTTGGAAACAACCATGGCCAGAATCAGAAGGTGAGTGTGACTTCACTGGAACTGTTGACTCCATCCACTTAAAAATTGACTGACTGAGCTGAATGACAAAAGAAATCCTAGATTAACAACATCAAAGAAGACTTTCCATTGGAGGTATCTACACTGCATAATTTTTCCTACTGTGCTCCTTGGGCACAGTAGGGTAAGCTGACTTTTTCTGACAAAGAAGAATGCCTATGCTTTATTTCCCTATGCCAAGCTAAGGAAAAATTACTTTTAAGTAAATTCCTGTTTATACTTCATTAATTAGACTGCTTGATTTAAGATATTATAATCCAATTATTTATAACTTTCAGGTATTATGTGTCTGGGCTGATGAAAGGTGGAGCAGATATGTTTGTTGAGAATATGCCTGGTCTTCCAGATAATATCAGATTAAGCAGCTCTGGTGGATATTGGGTAGCTATGCCAGGTGTCCGTCCCAATCCTGGATTTTCTGCGTTAGATTTTTTGTCTGAAAAACCGTGGATTAAAAGGATGATATTTAAGGTAAGAAAAAAAGAATGACCTTTAGTGTGGGAATGGAAGTGACTAAAAAGTTGGTTTGTTCTTTTTCTTCCTATTCACAGGAAGATTAAAATAAAAAATAGTGCTGTTTAAAACTGTTGTGGTTGTCTTCATGTGGAGCAGTTTGTGTGATTCATGCATAGAGAAGCAAATGTTAGTTTCAATAAGTAGCAAACAGACATCTCTTTGAATTGCCTTCCATGTTAATCTCAGAAGAAAGAAAGAGGAGTTATCTCTGCCCTAGCCATGCAGCAATACAGGATCTGTATTTGGATATATGAAAGAAGACTCCACCTCTATACCTGAAGTGCCTGAAGGACTTACTGCCAAGTGTTTGGAGAGGTTTTAAAAAATTTCCTCTATTCTACTGGCTTCCCTAGGCATCCTAGGAGATGTGTATGCTTCATATACTGCTGTGTGGCACTTTGTTCTAACTCAGTATGCACTCCCTTTTGATTAAAGAAATAGCAATAATAACATATTTTGTGAAGGATATCTGATACTGAGTAAATGGAATAGTTCTCTTTATACAATATGAAGACTTGAAAATGCTTTCCTAAAAAAAAACTAATTAAAATCAACTGTCAGCATTTAGGATAGAAGTGACAGTTCAGCTAAATGAACTCTCATCTGTGCTGTGCTGTCTTTGCTGGTATAGTGCAGACGCCTTAACAGAGCAGTGCTATGGGTGGCAGAGCATGTCTGCAGCTTAGCATCAGCTGTGCCAGAAGAAGCTGCTGCCTCCTGTGAGGACATTTGTTCAGCCCAGTGTCAGAGTGCATTTCTGATGGCTGATCTGTAAAAAAATTTTTTTTGAGCTGTCACATTTTAAGCCTGTGTAATACTGTTTACTCAAAATGTGTGCTTTTGTTCTTAGCTGGTTCAGTTGAGGGGTGTGGAACGGTTTTTGATTGTATATCTGACTTCCAATTGTGTACAACAGAGTCTTTTGATAGTTTTCCTTTTTTTTTTGTCTTCTAGATACTGAGCCAGGAAACTGTGACAAAGCTCGTGCCCAAGCGTAGCCTCGTTGTTGAACTTAGTGAGACAGGATCCTACAGAAGAAGCTTTCATGATCCCACTGGAGTGACAGTACCTTCTGTTAGCGTGGCACATGAGCACAATGGATATCTTTACCTGGGCTCCTTCCAGTCCCCGTTTATTTGCAGACTTAATCTTCAGCATGTTTAACCATCCATCCATGATAAAGTGTCACAGTCCTGAAATACTCTAGAGGTATGAAGGAAGCATGTGATTGAAGCAGTGTGTGACTGAGGAGGGAAAGTGAAGACAGCCTGTTAATAAGTGCACTTAGCACTGCTCTGTTGCCACAGGAAAGCATACAGCTTGCTGTATCTGTCCTTGGTTTGACTGCTTTGCAGTTGGCATGAATAATACTAATGTCTGAGGAATACGGTGAGGCTTCTTTGTGTGGTTATTTGCTCAAGCAAAATCCACTGCATTTCCAAACCCAACCCTGGAGTTTTCTTAAACAGGCAACATCTGTCACCCATAATGCAACTGTATGTTTATCTTACCATTGAAGGGTTTACAATGTATGGAATTTAAACATGTATGATCTGGACTGAAGAGGATATCTTGCATGTGTTTATACTTCAAAGCCAACTGTTTAGGAGTGATATGCCTAGAAACCTAATTATTCCACTTGGGTTTTTTCAATTCTAGCCTATGTAATCAACATTGGAAACTACGGTTAACAGCTGATCAACATGCAGGATCTGATTTGATCATTATCTATGGATTCTTGTGTGTTTTTTTTGTTTGTTTGTAGTTGGATGAAAGTTTTTTCTAAGTTACCAAAGACTGGTTCCAGGGGGTTTAAGCTGGATCATTTAGAATGTTACCTCTATGTTCATCAGGTCCTGTAAGTTTCCTGTTCACTGTGTAGGGCCAATGCCTCCCATTCCTGAGGGGCATGGGAGGGAAGAAGGCCAGCTGCAGGAATCCTCTTCAGCATGTGTGTTATGACAAACAGGTGAAGGTTTTGGGAAGGGTCTGTGTGTCTGAGGGTGGATGTGGACTGAAAGAGCCCCTGCAGCACCTAGTAATAGTGGATGAAGAAGGCTTTGGTGGAAAATGTTGGAATATGGTAGTTGTTCATGGGTGCTTCCTGCATTGAAAGGTACTCTGGTGAATCCACAAAATGCTTTTCTGTAAACTACTGCAAAGGAAAGGCCATTCTGCTTACATTTTCAATAAGAATTTTTTTCCACCTTGGATAGGATCTTAGGGGAGTTTATTTCAGCAGTGTGATTTAGTGAGATTTAGTAGGGATTCCTGCTCTGGGACTGAGGATTACTGCTTGCTCTCTACTGCCTCTTTCTACCACTGGGTGATAGTCAAACACTGGCTTACTCTGTTGCTCAATTTTCTCACCTCTGAAAAGGAAATAACCATGATTTGCTTTATTATATAATGAAAAACACTGGAGAAAGGGAAGATGATGTTGAAAATGCCATCTGCTTTCACTGTCTATCGTTTGCATTTCCCTGCAGTAATAAAAACAAGCACAGAAAGTGTATTTTTACTGTCAGTGCTCTGTCACTGTATACTGCACTACTATCAGACCGCAGCAACCCTGTGGAAGTAGCTGGTGGTTGCTGGATCAGGCTCTGCTGTGCCTGTGCTCACAAGCCTTTTTACTTGTTTCAGTGGTGACTGGATCTGGGAGGAAGATCAGTGAGAGGAGAAAGAAGCCTGGTAGACAACTTGCTGCAGGTTCTGACCTTTGGTCCAGCAGAGCCCTATCTTAATTATTTGTGGGCAGGGACTGAGTGATTCTGTGATAAGTTTCAAAGGCTGAGAAGCTTGACCTTCCTGCCAGACTTGCACTACAGGAACTCTGGAGAAGGGTTGAGAATGGGACGCTCTTGCAACACATTTTGCTGGCAAAAGGGCTGGCTGACTAAGCAGCATCTGGCTAGTATTGCTCCGCCAGCCCTTGTGGCTGTTTTTCATGGGATTTGAAAACAGAACTTGATGTGTGACAGGGTACAAAAGCAAGTTCTCTGTAGGCCTTGCTTCATTGGTGTTTCAGCAGCCTTGAATCAAGCACAGCTTTGCCTGTAGTTGTACAGCTATCTCTAGTGTTTCATTTCCAAAAGTATCTTACTGAATAATTGAATGCTTTCTTTCATAGGGAAGTAGACCTCAGATGTTTAGGCATGCCAAATGTAATAGCTTCTGTGTGATTAGTTCTCTTCTAAGGCTGTATTCCTGAAGCTGTTAAGTGGAAAAGAAAATAGGCTGTGCTGCTGATTCTCAAGAGGATTAAGACACAGAAAGCCTCACAAGACATTCTTCTTGCATTTATCCTTTCTCTTCTTTCACCTCCACTGCTAAGGATTTAGTACTGTGGTCTCACTAGAAGGTTCTTCAGTCTTTTTAGTTCTCTCTGAACTCTGCAAGTTCAGCAGACTCATATGAACAGTACATATTTCTTGAACGTCCTAAACACAGGATTTGCATAGCAAAACTATTTGCATAGTCCTCCAAAGGAACCCAAAGTCTCTGAAGACCCAAAGGAATGCCTTTCCTGAGCACAAGTAGTACCAGGTCCCGTTCCTGGTGCGGTGCAGTATCTTGGCAGTCCATCCTTGATGAGCAGAAGTAGGGTGATCTGTAGCTGCAGAGCTCAGGTGAAACAGCTTGACTGACACACAGCTTTTTCCTCGCTTCAGCATGAGCGGTGCTTAAAAACAACAATTCCACAGAAGCTCAGATGCTTTTAGTTGCTTGTATTTCCTTAGATGCAACCGTCTCAGTGTGATGCAGTAGCAATAAAACGCCTGTGTAACAACAGGCCTAAACTCCCCTTGGTGTTAATAAGAAGGCTGCTTTTACAAGCTCATTTTGCTGTCACGTAAGTGTGAGTTGATGGTGTACTTGATTATATCGCTGCAGGAACGTGACACCTTTGCAACACTGAGACTTGCACTTCTCTAGAAGCAAGAGTAGTGTCCAAAGGTCTTGTTAGGACAAGATTTTGGGTGTCAGGAGAAAGTTCTGCACTTCTAAGAAAGCCACAGATCCTCTCACCCAGGCTGGATGTGGCCTTGGGCAGCCTGGTCTAGAGGTTGGCGACCCTGCCCATGGCAGGGGGTTTGAAACAAGATGATCTTTGAGGTCCATTTCAACCTAGGCCATTCTATGATTCTATATCTGCGCAACTCCTGGAGGATCCTGAGGTTGCTTCCTGCATTTCACCCAAGTGTCTCCACATTGATGGGATGTGGAATGGGAAAATGGTGCCTAGTCTCCTGAAGGGCTTTAGCATAAAGCTGTACAGTAGAACTGCTTAAGGAAAAGGAGCTTAGCTTAAGTACACCACAGTTGTGCATTTTAAAGATATGTTTTTGTTGCTTTGTCTGGCATTGCCGATGGATCAGGTGTTTCTGCAGGGTGAGAATGTCAAGAAATTTTGCTGAAACTATTTAAGGTTCTATATCCTGGGTAACTGCCATGTCCCTATTCTGGAGCAAACATCTCCTACAGCAGAACTGCTGGAAGATAATGTGTATGTACCCCTGGCACTTACACATCTCAGTGTGAACAGTTTATAAAATTAATTGCAAAGCCTTGGCCCTCCTTTAATTCTGAGTCTGCTTTGTGGCAGTGACCCTTGCATATGTTGTGGTGATCTCCTGAACCTCTGGGACTGTCTGCTCAGTGATCACAGCAGAGATCTTCTGATGCTGATGTATGGACTTTCTCATTTAGTTTGCTTAGAAAAACTAGTGCAGTAAGAGAAAAGTCATGTGGGACTGCAGCTTGTTTTGCTTTGTTTGAGATAGGGACAGAAAAATTTAGCAGTAAGTGATCAAGTGACATAAACGCAAGCAGCTTCCTCCAGCCAGCAGAAAGCCATCTCTGCTTATAGAGCTGCTGCCAGCTGAACTTTGTCTTGGCTCTGTGCAATTGTATGCGTGACACCCCAGCCACCAACAGACAGGAACAGATTCCTCTGAAGCACTGGCTTTGGCTGTCCTTGGAGCTCTTAATGCTGCTGCTGGGATTGTTCCTTTTTCTCCAGGGGGCGGATTGACAGGCTCTTCCCCTCTCTTGTTAGGGCCTAAGTTTTACTGGCTATATTTATGTTTTCAGTTGCCTTTTGTGGCCTGGAGTAGGTCAGAGTCTCAGCAAGTTCTGCAAAGGTGTGAGCTCCTTGGAGTCAACTGGTGAACAAGTTAACCTTGGTGTGAATCTCAACAATGATGTGTGTTGGGCAGAGACATCAGCCTGACTGCTGTGTGGTATTGTGATTCAGTGGTACTTAGCTGCAGTTCTTTAGGTCAGTGCTAGTAGTGTCCTCTTGACTCAAGGCTGCTTAGTTGCTGAAATCTTTCTCTGGCAAAGTGCTCAAGAATGTTCTAAGAGCTCATCTGACTTCTGCTCTGCTCTTTTCATTGGTACTCAAGGTAACTCTTATTTGTCTGGAGATGGTGGATTTTCTTACTCCAGCATACCTTGCTTACTGTGATGATACAATTGATACTTTGCAGCAGCTGTAAATTTTAAAGCTGATTTGTCTTTCCCAGAAGCTTTTTGTCTGAGTTGGTTGCAATGAGCTCAGCTTTGTTGCAGGAAATGCTGTCTGTAGTTTTATGTGTAGCTGTACTTTGCTTCCAGATAAGCCTATTTGGATAGAAATGTGTGAAAATCTTGCTGTGTTTTCCTTAAGACAGCAGCCTGAGCATGCTGGGTTTGTTGACCTGTGTGATGCCAGATGTCTGGCTTAACTCTTGCTTTTAACATATGGGCAATTAATTCAGTGGTAATATGAAGATGTGACCTGTTTGCCAGGAGCTTGCAAGATCATGCACGGGAGATCATTCTGTTTTGTGCTTACTGTTTTGTGCTGGCTTGAATATTTACACAGACCTATGCTGATTGTGTGCCACCTGCATGTGGAAAGGCTGATGTTTCTGAGCATCAAGCTGTCCTGTTGGTTGGAGGAAGAAATGTTTGTCTTGCCTGTCTGGAGCTACAGCTTGGCTGGAAACCCTGACCATTGCTGCTATATGGAGCACCCAGCTGAAATGGAAGAACTGAAACCATTGTAACCCCTTTGAGTTTCAGACAGCAACTTCTCTTGGCTCTTCTTTCCTCTAAAAACTTTGCTGTGGCTTGGTTTTTCTTCTGCTTTGTGGACCACGAGGACAACTGTGGTTAGATCTCTTTACTGTCTTTGGCATCAGGCTGTCAATGGAGGCTTGTGTGGTGGATTAATGTAGCACCACATCCAACGATGGAACTCCCAGAGGTTTCTTCTGAGCAAGCGGAGACCTCTGCTATGCTGTTAACAGATCCGTCAGATTTAGGGATTTCTGTACCTTGGCCTAGAGCCTGTCAATGGCTGTTCTTGACAAAATGGACATTATATAAGGCTAAAAGTGAGGTGTCATTGCTAATAGGAGCTATAATAGAGCAGTAGAAAAGCAACAGCTCTCAGAAGGAAGCATGTTTGTGGGAGGAAAAAAAAGTGTTCCTTATAGGTTAAGTCTGGGCCCTAACCATTTGTGAGGGTATGAATGAAACATGGGTTCAGTGGGCTCAGGCTTTGCCATTTCAAGTTAATGGTTACAGCCTTAGTACAGTGTAAGCGATAATCTGCATGAAGAGAGAAGGTTTAAAGAGAGGTGGGCACACATGTAGACAGGACCATCGTTCTGCTAAACTTGAATGTAAGTCAACCAGAAACTGAATATTGAATACTAACCTAAATGAAACTACG